GTCTCTGTGAAACTGGAGTCTCAGTCAGTTTTTAAATTAAAACTTAGATCAAATGAACGTTTGACCAATTTCCTGTTGCATATCAGGAACTATAAAGCTTGAGCCAACAAAACAATTATGTGCAATTCATGCTCATAAAACAAAGATGTGTATTGTCATTTTCTGCATGAATACGTATTTTAAAATAGAACCTATCATTTTTTTAAATACCTGTATGCAGTTGACATCTGCCCTTCCTGGGAAAAGAATACTTATACTCTGAGATCATGTATTCCCTTCATATTTGGCATTAAAAATTTCCTTTCCTTTATTAAATAACATTGATGATAATTTTTAAAAATACCTTCATTGGGCAAAGTAACATATTGGCAGTCCCATATCAGTATCTGTGTACTTTTAGTGTTGGTTGTGTCTGTGCTGTGTACTTGGCCATGGGGCACTGGGACTGTATGGTTCAGATTGTTGGAAATTTTACCCTTGTATTTGGGCATGTCCTGTCCAACTCAGAGTGGCATTGTGTTGGGTTCTCTTGGCCACCCTGTTAGTCAGAGGGCTGCGTTTACTCACATACCAGATCCTGTGCCCAGCCCATCCATTTCATATTTCCGAAAAGCATGGGCCCTGCAGCATTTCAGGGCATGGCTCCAGTGACATGTGGCACTCTAGGATAATCACTAGACCATGAGGTCGATGTGAATCACAAGGTTGGCAGTTCAAACTTAGCAGCTGCTCCTCGGAAGCCCTATACAGGGTCACTGTGAGTTGGAACGAACTGGACGGCACTTAATGACAACAAGAAGCCGTCAGCAACCAGGCCCTATCTATACCCATTAGGATTCTCCAAGGGCTTTGACTGCTTTGCAAAGGCCAAGTATTGAAACATGGTACTGAGGAAATTTTAGTGGAACATCTAGTATTAGCAAGAGCCCATCCCAGGTACCATGTAAAACAGGAAATAGGAGTCCATGAGGTCCCTACCCTGTTGGAATCTATAATACCATTGGACAAACAAGAAAATTACCCAAATGTGAGTACAACAGGAAGCAGAAATTTCCAAGTGAGACTGTGGGACACATATAATGTCTGATTTTATAAAAGTCTGAATTAAATTATTCCTGGCTAGATGGTTATGGATGAAGAGCAAGATGGTAGTATATTCCAGAGTCCAACTCCTGGATTCCAACCTCACTTTGCCCCTCACTAGCTATGGGACTGCTCCATGCTTTGGTTCCCTTATCTGTTAAGTGACTACTTCATACAGTTGTCAGGAAGATTAAAGATTAATGGGCACATAATTAGCATTTATGAAAGAGTAACCTCTGTCATCATCCTGGGCAGGTGACATTTGAAAAGAGAAATGCAAGGCAAGATAGAAAATGGCAAGTCATCTTTCTTAGCTACAGGGAAAAAAATCAAGAGCATAACAGGAAGTTGTTAGGTGCCATTGAGTTTCTTCTGACTCATATCAACTCCTAAGTGAAAAACTGCCTAGTTGTGCACTATCCTCACAATCATTGCCATGCTTGGGTCCACTCTAGCAACCACCGTGTCAGTCTATCTTGTTGAGGGTCTTCCCCTTTTTGTTGACCTTCTATTTTCCCAAGCATGGTGTTCTTCTCTAGGGACTGGTCTCTTCTGATAACGTATCTAAAATCTGTCAGACAAAATCTTGCTTTCCTTGCTTCTAAGCATTCTGTCTGTACTTCTTCCAAGACAAATTTGTTTGTTTTTCTGGCAATCCACACACAACATTCAATATTCTTTGCCAGTACCCTAATTCAAATGTGTCAGCTTTTCAGTCTTCCTTTTTCACCGTCCAGCTTTCATATACAGATAAGATGATGGAAAACGCCATAGCTTGGGTCAGGTGCACTTTAGTCTTCAAGATGACATATTTGCCTTTCAACACTTTAAAGAGGTTACTTGTGGCAGATTTATCCAATGCAATATGTCATTTGATTTCTTGACTGTTGCTCCCATGGTTATAGATTATAGATCCAAATAAATGAAATCTTTGATGACTTCAATCTTTCTGCATTTATCATGATGTTGCTTATTGGTTCATTTCAGAGGATTTTTTTTTTGTCTTTATGTTGAGGTGTAATCCATAATGAAGGCTGTAGTTTTTAATATTCTTTAGTAATTGCTATAGTTTAGCAAGCAAGATTTTTTGATTTGCATATCACAGGGGATTATTAGTCTTCCTCCAATTCCAATGCCAAGTTCTTCTTCATGTAATCCAGTTTATCAGAGTATTTGCTTAGCAGACAGATTGAGTAAGTATGGTGAAAGGAGTGTAGTTTAGAAATATAAATAAAAGTCTTCAAATGCAGGGAAGTCATAATCGGATTGACTGAGGATGACCCTGAATTCACTTTTAAGAATGTCTGGCCCACAGTGCAGACCCGGTCGAGAGGCCAAGCCCCTGTGGGCCCGAGCGTTGTTGACCGTCCAAACCATAGGCTCTGAGGATCAGACTCTAGCT